AAAAAAAAAAAAAAAAAAACTTGGTTTATATTGAGTTTCTCTTTAATGTCTACATTTTTATATTTTCTTGTGTAAAAAATAATGATGGACAATTTATTTCTAAAACCTTAGCAGTTCAATCTTCTTAATAACTTTTAGGAGATTGAGGAGATGAGATGTGAAATAAACAAACATTTAGGAATGTAGGAAATATAATTATCGAAATATACAAATATTTAGTAACTCTACAATACTAAAAAGTATTAAGCCTTTTCTCGACTTTCCTTTTTAGTTGTTAAAATTATAAGTTGATAGAAATTAGCAGTAGATAAGTAGATAGTATTTCGTACAAAAAGTGTGATTAAATAATTTTTTAGCAAGTAAAAAAGAAACCCGAACAAAGGCTAAATAAAAAATATATTCAAATCTTGCTATGGTAGTACTCATGTCAAATACTACGTTCATGACATGTTTGGTGAAATCGATTATACAACACCCGCAAAATTCTACGGAAAGGACAAAAAATAAAATCTTCAATAAATATGTTGCCATCGGCCATCCCATCGCAGCCTTGTAATGAACGAAAGTTACAACATGTGTGAACGAAAATCTTGCCGGGGCGGACAAGGCAATTTATGACAACAAAGTCAACTGAATGTTAATTCGTTATTTATTATCTTTTCCTTAGATCATTCTTCTTTGTCAATTCTTCTCTTTTCAATTTGGACTCAAATTAGTTTTCTCAATTACTTAAAGCTATTACTACATAATACTGAAAAGCTGTCACGTGGGATTAGTTGAGATGTGCGTAAGTTGGCTCATACATCCACGATTATTAAAAAAAATATATATATTGAAAAGCCTTTTGCCATTTGTATAGGGGAAAGAAAATAACAAGAAAGAAATGGAAAAGGGTTGTGGAGTAAACTTGAATATTTATATTTAAGTTAAAGGGTTCTAATTTTCAAGTACATGTTTTGAACTATCACGTCTAAAAGTTTGTCAGAAAATAAAGAATTTATTTCATTATGTTTTATAAATAACAAGCACTTTTAAATGGAAGCCTATAGATTTTTATAAATAAATATTTGAAGATTTCTAGAGGATCATTTGGCAACAATAAACGGAAACAATTAATTCTCAACAACACACGCATGGATGTTGCATAGAGAAGGCATGACAAATTGAATAATGCTACATGGCACACATCGAACTTTATCATTTGTCTACGTGACAATACAATAAAATTAGATAATAAATTCGATAATGCGTAGGGATATATTTACGTACCGATTTTGATGTTGAATCGGTGCTTGATATATGTCCATATAAAGGCTTGTTTGGATTGGCAAAAGTGAGAGGCTGAGATCTTCTCAAAATGCAAGGCGTAAGAAATCCACCAGAAAACAGCACAAATTCGATATCAGTTCGAATATTAATGACATGAAATGACAAAGTTGCACCACATGTACTCAACACGCATTTCCCATTCACTTTTTTCTTGCATTCCTTCTTCTTGCAACTCAAGTAATCTGGATCATTTCTTACATACTGAGCCTGCAAATTTTAGCAATAATCCGAGTCGACATTAGAATTAATTCTCAGATTTGTCGAAAATAAGACTTAAATTTGTTGTTGTCGTTGTTGTTATGCCAAAGGACAAGTCCTCAAGAAACTCTCAGTGTATGAATTATATAGTTGTTAGATAATACACAGATTTCTCATGATTTGGAGCCAAGCATGCCCAAGAAATAAATTATCAAAATGGCTGCAATAAAAAATAAAATTAACATGGCTAATTAAACTATGATTAACTATGAACATTTTGCAAAAGTACAACGTGCTTACCTTAACAGGATAATGGCAGAGAAGTGGAAGAATGCTAAAATCTCCTGTCTGCACATAGAGAAGCGAATTATCTAAACAGGCTGCGACACTGCAAAAAAAAAATACAACACGAACATGATTAACAGATAAATTAACTTTTATTGAAGCATAAAATCAGATTATTTTGATATGAAAATAATCATCTTACTTCACATGAGACGGTGAAATCATTGCAACCCAATCAGTAGTTGAAGGGAGTAAAACTCCTGTAACATTTACGGTTATATATCCTTCATCAGAAAGCTTGTTAATGGAGCTTGTAGTTATTTGCAGATACGGGTTCGGGTCGGGGCAATCCTTCAAAAGTTTTCTGTTGAGTACCCTAAACTCTGATATGGCGGTGTAATTATGGTGTGCAGCTGTGGACTTCAAGAGTCTCTCGGGTAAAGAAGATGACAGAGAGAACAATGGATCTCCCATTAAGAAAAAGATGGTTAAAATCAAGAAAATTTTCAAAACCCCGAAATTCTCCATGACAAAAAACGGTAGAAAATTGTTTGATGAAATGAAAACTCGTGATTTAAGGATGTATCATGAATACATAAGATGTTTATTTGTATCTATATATGTATGAAAAGTTTGTTTGAAAAATGAAAATGGAATGCTTAGAAATTAAAGTTTGTGTGTATGTGTGTGTGTGGGGGGACAAGCAAAATTGTTTTGCGTTAAGGGTATTTATAAATCTGAGCATAAAGCATGGTATTTTGGGGGAATATTATTATGGGGGAGAAGTTCGGTTTCTTTAAGGTTTCTTGTTGAATATTTTGATACAACTTAGGCAGTTATCTGTCACACATGTCCTTATTTAATTTCACATTAACCTCTTACGGTTAGCATGCATTTGTATAGTTGGAAATCATTTTATTCCATCGTAATCATGTAATCGAGTTAGACATGTAGCTCCTACGTGCATTTGATGCAATGAGAGGAGTGAAAGTGATTGACATAAGAACTCGTCCGAGCATTTTTAACTCGTTGACATATCAATCAGCACTCAAAAGGGTGTACTCCCCGAGTATGAAAATTTAGTGCTTCATGCTATTATCTAATTTACATGTATATTATAATATTATTTGTCGAAGTTTGGGTTCAAATTAAATAGTGAATTCCAATTATTCAATACACATGTCAATTAAATAGTGACAATAAGTACTGAGTACTTTATATTTAGAGAGTACTATAAATATTTCTTCATTTGAAATAGTATTATAATACTGAGATGAATGGTAATAATGTGGATTATAGGTTGTATTTCTATCTTACGATACTATTTGGTGCTACACTGCCTTGAATGAATATGCAAGTAGTTAAAAAAAAAAAAAAAAATTTGTAACATACTATTAGTCTAAGTTTATTTTTATAATCAATAAAATAAAAGTCGAACTTGTTCAGAAAACTTGTTATCGTCATAATGATCTTTCATGTTGGATCACCAAAAATTTGTAAATCGAAACGGAAGCGTACCTGAATCAGACATGGTTAATGCAATGAATGAATTCTGCGATTTTTAGTCTTCTAGATCAACACATTGTTCCTTTATTTCTCTCTGATGATGGGAGTCAAAATATAATGAACAATCATGTGTGATTCAGGGACCATAACCTTATATATATACTAACGGTTTGTTAGTCTAATTCGGCTCATCATGAAATTAGGAACGAGTCTGATCTCTACACATAAAACACACACTTTAATTAGATGTTTCAATGTCCAAAATCCTGAAACTTTATTAGATCACTTTAAACGGGCTTAACCAAAATTAATAGTCTTTAATTTTATACACAAGAATTCAAATATAAACTCACATGATGGATTAAAAAAATCCTTATAGAACTTACCAAGTATATGATATAAATTATAACATTACCCGTCAAAATCCTCAAAACAGATCTAATATATCGAGCTGGGAGTGAGGTCAAACGTCCTAAATATGTTATCTTCATTTTTAAGTTCAACCTCTTGGAAAACTGCATTTGGAATTAGCAAGGTAGGGACAATTTCACTTGGCTGAAACCAAGAGCTTCTCTGCCACATTTAGCGATTAAAAAAAATAAAATAAAAGAGGTCTAACGTATCTTTTAAGATATATAAAGTACGTCACAAGAAACTTATTAGGAGCTAACAAACTCAATTTTATAAGAATAATGATATTTATCATTATGATAATAATAATATTAGACATGCTAATCCTAGAAAATGGATCTCCACGTGGCCGCAAGAAAGCAATTCCATGTATGCTCCCCTGTACACTTGACACAAACCGTTAGCCGCTCGTGGCCATTCCAGACGATGGTGGTAGTGGCCACGAACACTCAACAATCAAGTCAGTCATCGATAATTGCAAACAACTAACTTCAGTAGCGGGATTCGGGAACCACCAAAATTTCTGTAATATCTTGAGGGGAGGGGAATAATGAATTCTTAAAAGTGAAGTTGCGTTACCTTACGAAGGCACAAAGTATAGGTATTTATAGAGGAAGTGGTGAAAAATGACCGTTGGATGAAAGACATGTGGCTTCATTTGTTGGTCCGAAGCGTCTCTTCGTAGACATTCATCTATCATTCCATAAGTGGGCGGACATTTAATGTTTCCGACACATGGATTCGAATTAACACATTGGCATCTGCTACAGAGATGTCACATCCATCATTCAAAAGATTTTATATTGAACAGATCTTTGTACAAAAGATCCATCTCTCACTCTGAAGCATAGACTTTCATTAGTAGGTGTGTCTTCTAGCCACGTGGCTTGGTCTTTGTTCACGTCAACTCTAATCACTTCGGATAATATGCGACTTGTCTTGTTCTAGGCGTCTCGGAGTGTGGGCTTTATTTTGATTTGGGGACTCATATCATCGATATTTTATCATCATGATAATAAATAGTATATTGTTTAAATATTGCTACAACAAATTAATGTGACACAATAAAAGATAAAACAACACTTGCTTTACAACAAAGATGTGGCTAATGCACTCCTATTTATTGGCTTGTACTATTTTATCTAATCTATTTTAAGTGCGTTCCTTGAAAGGTAACCATCCTCCTGATCCTATGAATTGAAAATTATTGCTAGTTACAAGAAGTTGTGTTGCATTCCTATACATCTCAATAATTACGTGCCATCGTGACAATAAAAATACTTTATACATAAAAATTCAAGTCAATGTATATGTATGAATTTGTGTAAATTTATGTGTCTCCTATGACTACTAGAAAAATCTTTATACATCAAATATGGTTAGGCTTGTTTGGAAATTCATAAAACATTTTTCACAAAACTGGAAAGAACAATACGTGCATATAAGTTAAATATTTCCTCGGTAAATATGTATTTTATTTAACTCGTGTTTGATAATAGATTTCAAGTAATAATTTCGTCACCCGTATAATTCCGCCATAAATTTAGAGAGAGTACCTTAATGTTGTGTTTAGCACTCTAAATTAGATCATATAAAGAATTTAATGTAAAATTAGAATACACAATAATAATAATATTAAACTTTGCGATTCCATCTTAAAGCTCACAGTATTAAGAGGAGTATCATAATCTCTTATATATTAATTAATATTTTCGTCTTAATTCGATGTAGAATTCTACCTTTAACTAATAATACTAACTAGACTGTATTATGATGTAATACGGTGAAAAATATTATTTAAATTTTAAATATAGACAATAAATTCTATATTGACAAGAAATGATTATTCTAAAATGTCATTTGAAGTTTTGATAGTAACTAGAGACATCTCAAGTATTAAGCTAGTTAAGCAGTTGTTATTTAGGGCTTGTTTGTCTCACTTTATTTGAAGACATTGTTTTCTACAGTAACATTCTCTACTACATATTTAAATAATAAAATATTCTACATACAAATCAATAGCGTTACTTTAAATTTCAACCACACATTCTCCAAAAAATAATATTAATTACTTTATTTATTCCACAATAATTTAACCACATATTCTCCAAAAAACACTATTCAAAACTTCATTCTTTCTCCCATAATGGGAGACAAATAGGGGCTTATTAAATGTTGGTAATTTTTAAAATTAAAATTTTTTTACTTTCTTTTCTTACGAAAAATTCTTTTGATAATTACTAATATGTTAAATTTATGAAAATATTTATTTTTTTAATTTTAGAAACTAAAAAAATTCATTTTTAATTATTTTTAACCATCAATTAATTATTGACATTAATTTTTTAAGGTAATACTTAGGGGGTGTTTGGTGGAGATTAAAATTAGATTTTTAGTAGATTGTGATAGAAGTTTTTAAAATGTGTGCTTGAAAAGATGTGGGACCCATAAAAAATGTGATTAATATTGATTGTTTGACGTTGACTTAGATTAAAATCTGATTTTAATTTGTACCAAACAAGCTCTTAATCTCTTTCATAATTTTATTCAATGAACAGAAGTCTTATTGATGAATTAAACGTATAAATAAACTGAATTTATTAAATAATTTCTAAAAAAGTTTCACAGGCGATAAAAATTGTTGTGGCTTTTCCGTTAATAATATAGTTTTTTATTACTTTATTTTGAGACAAAATTTCGTCTTGGTAGATTAAATTTATGAAAATAAGTTTTTGTAATTTTTATGGAAGAATATTTGTGATTAGGAGACTCTAACAGTAAATTTCTAGAAAATATTTTTTTCTAAAGTTTGGAATCTTATCTAAATATGGAGCCTTAGATGACTGCTCTATTTATTTGGAAATCAACTCGACCATGCTCGATGTGGACAATAGTAGCCTTTATTTTACTTCATCTAGTAGTATCTTAGAAAAAGAGCCAGGCCCGTTTATCAAAGATGGATTATTTAGGGCTTATGTTTGTGAAAATTACATATTAACAAGTATTTAAAATTTTCAAATAAAAAATCAGGTATTAATTAAATTATTAGTAATATTATAAAATTTACCCATCACTCCCACCCCTTGCTACAAAACGTAAAATATTTCCCATCTCTATCTCTCTCATAGGCCACCTTTGAGGCAACGCTCATATAGCCACCGTGTGCAGCGGTAATGATGGAAAAAATCACTGCTGCACGTCAAATCTTCTCTCACAAGGCCACCTACGAGGTGGCGTTCATAGAGTTGCCGTGTGCAGTGACAGTGATGGAAAAAATGCCTGAACTGAAGCCCTAGACGTGGTCGTTGCACGGCGACGTAGATTCATTAATGGATGACGTCGCTTGTTTGGTTGGTATGTCGCGATTTGGTGTACGACGTCGTTGGTTTTGAATCTACTTTCATCCACCCGTCTTGTTGCTCGGCGCAATTTGGTGCATGGCAATGCTGCATGTGATTTGTGATGGTGGTGATTTTTGTTGGATTTGTTGGTTTTTGGAGTGGTGCATGATCTGTGACAGTGGTAACATGGTGGTTTTTCATGTTTTCATGTTGGGG